AGGATTGAAATTCGGATATTGAGGTGACTGTAGAAGTACGGTCATCCTGTGAAAAGGAGTAGGTCTTTGTTTTGCACCTTGTACTTCTGCCAAAGTATTTAGTTGTTTATTGTTTTTGTTTGTTTTTAATTTTAGGAATCTATTAGATGGCTAGAAGATGAAAAAGCACTTCTTGAGATGACAGAAGAAGTAGACTATGATGTGGATTCTTATGCTACCCAACTTGAAGCAATCCTAGAGCAAAAAATTGATATTTTGACCGAACTTAGAGGTAGGTTGCTTTTAATCACTTTTGTGGGGGTTATTAGCAATGCATAGAGTGTACTTTTATTCTGTGATCTTTTTTTCCTCTTATGCTGTCTTGTGGAAGGAATGTTTATTCTGGGAACAAGTTCACATCTGTGTTGCATTCATCCTAGTTTAAAAGAAAAGGCTCTTGTTTTACCTCCAGGAAATATGCACTTGTTCTTGCAACTTTCCCTTTCTTTTTCTTCATTCCAAAATAATAAATGGAGGAAAATGAAAATACAAAGGAAGTGCACACAAAAAAAAAGTAATGTAATGTAATAAGGAAAAAGTACTTGGAAATCCCAGTTCCTGCTCTGCTGCAATCTGTAGTGTAGCAGAGTCTGCTTGTTTTTTAATCTGTATGTTGTTAACGTAGTTTTTTTATACAGCTGCATTTCTGCATTAATTCTGCCAGCTTTTTGTTGAAAAGCAAAGTGCAATTAATTCTTAGTACCTGTTCTGTTTGTCTTCTAAGTCAGGTTGTCAGCTTAATACCTCATAGAAGGTACTCAGAGCTTAGTACCTGAGTATCTTCATTTTTGCAAACATATCTTTTTAGAAAGATAACTCCTTAGAAGATAAAATCTTAGATTTTACTCAATCTCAGTATCTGCTGTAAGTTAGAATGAATCAAACAAATCAGATGTGGCCTGCTCAGCAAGTAATTCGTAATTACACATTCCTTTGCTTCATACAAACTAGCTGAGGGCTTCCTCTTCAGGAAGAGACAGCAGTAGTGAGAAAACACAATTTAGGTGACTCTCTGCTCTTCTAAAGCTTGTTGGATACCTCTTCTGAAACAGTGTTCTGGAGATAAAGGTTGTCTAAAAGATCCTTGTGTGTTTACAGGTAGGATGATGTTTATAGAGCTTGCGAGAGGGAGGAACTGTTAAGTCAAAGATTCTTTCTCCCAGTAACTTCTGAGTTCTGCTCGTGGCACACAATGGCTGCTGCATATTTCAGCTGTTCTTCCTGTCCTTTTGGGACTGATTTCTTTACATTGTTGTTTTGGTTTCCTTCTTTGAATTCTGGAGCATGTTACTGGGAAGTTGCTGGGAGTGGAATAGAAATATGAAGGATTGCCATGCTTCCTTTCATAGGTTTCTCCCCCCCCCCCTCCTGCTAGTTATGATGAAAAGTATAAATGATGTGCTTATCTACTTAGAGTGAAAAATTTCAAAAATGTAATCATAAATTCATTCATAGGAAAACAGAATTTATTCTGGTGGGTGTTAGGATGCTACTGATTATACACTAAGATATTTTTTTTTCTGCTTTTAAAGATGGTTGGGAAGCTGCTGGGAAGGAAAGGGAATTATGCTGTGCTCTCCAAGTTAGAAGCAGAACTGAAACACAAACAGGTTACATGCTGGCAGTGCAATTGTGCAGCTTCCTGCCCAGAGACTAGGCAGGATAGCATCTAAGAAGGTACCAAATTGCTAAGCTGCTTGTTTTATATGGTGAGCACTGAATTTAAGTTTGAGTCCTCTTGCCATTTGTAGCTTCAGCAGCTTTTCTGCAGGAGTGTTTTTTTTGTTTGTTTGTTAAACACTCAGGCAGGGATGTGGAACTTCAGGGCTCTTCAGGGCTCAGTTTCATGATCTGTGTTGAGAACAGGCACATCAGTACTCATTCTCTCTTTTTCCTTAAAGATAAAGTGAAATCCTTCCGGGCAGCTCTACAAGAAGAGGAACAGGCCAGTAAACAGATCAACCCCAAAAGACCACGTGCCCTTTGAAACGGGCCTTTGCTGCTAAAGGAATCCACAAACCTGTACTGCTGTAGCACACATTTGTTACAAAACCCAGTGGCCGTAAGAACTCAACTACTTGAAAGTGTAAAAACATTAGAAATGTCTGTGGAAGTGTCCTGTTTCTTATTCACCTGAGTGACATTTTCGGTTTTGTGTGAAATGCTCCTATGATGTCTACAAAATGCTTCTAGACCAGACAGCACAACCATGCAGGGTTCAGATCTGTGAAGCACTTTGTTTTGAATATTTCTTTATTCGAATTGTGAATTTTTTTTTGTTTGGAAGTATTTACCATGTTTTTAATAATGAAGTAAAACTGTGGACATTAAAATGTCACAGTATTTCCTTTAAACTATGTTCAGTTTTGTTACAAAGACCAGCTGTGCAGTTTTGTGTTTGCGTGCATGCACACCTCACTAGTGGTTGTACATAACTTCTCTTCTACATACAGCTGTGCTTACCTTTTTCCATTCTGTCATTCTGTGCCTTGATGAAGGCTACTTAACCCTAAACATCCTCTTTTTGAAGCACAGCCTTAATAAACAACATTCCTTATTTGTCAATATAAATTGCTTTTAGTGTGTGTACATTTTTAATGTGTTTTGAGACTTTTTTTTTTTTTTTTTGGTGGTTAGTTCATTCATTTCACAGGATGTGCCATATCATTTGAACAGGAACCGCAAGAGCTGTTGGAGTGGACAAACAGCTGGACATTCCATCCTCCTTGTAAAAAAAAATCTGGATTTTAGATTTATTTGAACACCGTAAAGAATGGTTATATAATTCTAACATTTTTCTCTGTAAAAACAAACAAAAAAAATCAAACAAAAAACAGAAATATAAATTAGTTGATGTATGATAAAGGGTAATGTTTTAAGTACTGAGGAGAGTTGTATCTTAGGATAATGCAGATAAGCAGTATGTGGTATGATGTGATAATGCTGTCGGAAAGAAGGTACAATCTGACCTCTGTGTATGATGCATAGGATAACTGTCAAAGTTTGGGGATATAGCTGAATAAATATGTATTGGCCTTTCACATACTGTTAAAATTTGGCTTTTGATGCATGACAGACTTACATGTACATTAACTGTAGTTTGCAGGTAGTTTGAGTAGCTCTGTTGCTTTAATAAAAAAAAAAAAAAAAGTAGCTAATGCCTATTTTTCCCTTTGTATACGGTGCCAGCAGCTGAAAAGTGAGGTAAAATTGCATCATTTGAGGATTTGCACAATACCTCTACCTAGTGCTAATAGAAATCCCTGAAGTACCCGAATTCTCACAAATGGCGCCATGTATATCAGCACTTTTTAACTGGTGGCACTCAAGTTATTTTTGCAAAGTCGGTATCCAGGAAAGATTGACCTCTCATGTAAGAACTTTGTGTCAAATGAAGAGTTGTAGACCTCTCTAGGAGTTCTCCCTGATTCCAGGAGTTCCTATCAGCAGACTTTCCCTTGGAACTGTTTAAACATTACTTTTGGAATACAGGCCTGTATGTTTGTGCCAGGCCTGAAGGAAAATAAAGGGAAGGCAATGAAAAGAGAGTTAAATGAGCCAGGAATTCCTGTAGTGTTTAATGTTTGTATCTCTCATAGGAAGGTAGGCTATGGGAAGCTATTGTCGCATCATGGTTAAATCAAAAAAATCCTCCTGTGTGTAAACATGAAAACTGAAACAACAATGTAGATTTTACATAATGTGTTTAATAAATTAAGCTATTAAATGAATTACAGATGAGAATTTACTTCTATGAAGGCTCTGTTCTGCTTTGGGAAGGGTTGAGCTTTGTAAACACATGTGAGTTGTTGCACTTTTCAAAAGGTCTCCGATTTCAAAATGAGTATTTACTTCTGGAAAAAAATATTCTGCGCAAATTTGTAGTGTAAGAAGAATTCCCCAGAGCACTGTCCTGACTTTATTTTGCAGCAGGTCTCAAAGAAACGTCACACAACTTCCTGAGCATTTGGTTAAGAACATCATTCATTGCAGTTAAAAAAAATAATTAAAAAAAAAGCAGCCACTTCTGTTAGTGGAGGATAGTACAGGTCATTGTATAATACCAGAGGGTTTCTTTGAAGTTGCTTTAGAGAACTCTTACTTTTACTTTATAAAGAGCCTCTAAAGACTGGGGCATCATATGTGGGAAACACTTGCTTCCCTACTACTCCTGCATGCCAAGCCAAGAGCCACAGCCAGGCTGTGGTTTATAGCAAGTAGGAAAGATGAGAGGCAGAGAAAAGGCAGACAGATCTCAGCACCTTTTACTAAACCTTGTAAATTATGTGGCCTGTGAGTTACCAGCTGCAGGTTAAAATCATGTCTAGTGGCTGTTAAGAGACTGCCTCTGTGATAGTGTAGAACTAATCTTTACAGCACTGAGGCTGAAGCAGTGACAATTAAAATAAGCAAGTGAATGCAGCTGGTTGTAGCACTTGAGTTCTGTAGGCCATTGTATGATGGTCAGGCATGACTAGGACTCAGGCAAGTGCGTTCTGTTTCCTGTGCTGTAAACCAAAAGCTTACAAAAAACACGATGCATATATCCTGTATTTGTTCCTTCTGTGTTGGGCAGCTTAACCACTGCTCACAAATTGGTTCTATAGGCAGGGAAGCAGCACTGGAATTGTTACAGTATAAAATAATTGAGCACTCCTTCAGGATGCCTGCGAATTCAGGCAGCGTTTCTGAATCACTGACCTTTCAACTTGCATGAAGTGAAGTTGAATACTACACTACTTTTTGTTAATCTGTCTCTTCTGCATTTACTGGTAAGATGCCACACATAAAACAAATGACTTATCACAGAATCAGAGAATATCCCAAGTTGGACTCAATGATCCTTGTGGTCCCTTCCAACTCCTGGCTCCACACAAAACCACCCAAAAATCAGACCATGTGTCTGAGAGCGTTGTCCAAACACTTCTTGAACTCCACAGCTTGGTGCCATGACCACTGTCCTGGGAAGCCTGTCTCCGTGTCCGACCACCCTCTGATATCCAGTCCTGATATCCAGCCTTATGGTAGTTAATACATAGCTATGCCATCACTTGCTTCATGCTACAGAGTTAATGGTTACTGTTTTCCTGAATTGTACGAGAGATCAAAGTGGAATTTTCTTTTGATGGTTGCTATGTAGAGTTAACGCGAACTTCCTTGGGAAAAAACTCTGCCTTGTCCTTAGTAACAAATACATAATCCAAACTATATTAAGACACTTCAGTAAGTCAGGACACATGAATGTATTGCTTTGAGGTTCACTGAAAGCTTTGATCTATCTTAATCCTCCTCTTGGCCTTAAATGACAAAATTTTCTGACAAAAAATAGCTGCCTGACTTCACAGTTGAACACCTGCTATAACCACCTTCTGCCTGTGTTTAGGACCACTGGCCAGTTAGTAATTTTCTGCTGATTCCAACCGGTGTCTGATGGCAGTAAGGAGGTGGTAAAGGAGATGACACTGGTAATTTTAGGTCCCTCAGTGATACTTCCAACAACTGACACCATGCCCGTAAGATAAATGCTCATTTCTGAAAAACACTTACTGGGATTTCTTGAATAGAAGTAGGTTACTAACAGACTTGGAATGCTAGTAGCTACCAGACAAAAGGAAGAAATGGACATCCCAAATCAAAAGGATTTGTTTAAATATATTTTAAAGGAAACAAAAACCAAGTGGAATGACTACAAATCCATTTTTGTTGCTAAACAGACGAGTTATACTGTAAGTATTACAAGAATATACTGAGATCAAGTTCATGAGCAGAGAACAGAGATCTCAGTTACGGCAGCATCACTCTGCATGTCACCCAGTAAATCTAAACATACTCTGTTGCGTGGAAGTCCAGCATCTCACTTCAGTCCTGAAAGAATTTAACGCTTTTAAAATACAGAGCTGCAGCTTCTTGCCTCTTCATTACCTGTGATAAAATTGTAATGTTCTTAATAAGAACCAGTGTGCACTCTGTATTCTGTTGCTTTTGTGAGAAGAGCTTGTCTCATTGCAGTCACTGCCGCTTCAGCAAGGCTTAGATAAGAAAATAAAGATCTTTCACTCTTCTGGTAGAATCTATGAGAAATGAATGCCTTCTGAATTGAAGCCATGCAACAGTCTGAAAAAGGGAAATAATTCATGTTATAATTTCCACTCATTTATACAGCCAATTAAATCATTTCCAAGTCACGCTGGCTGGCGAAGAATATAAGAAAGTAGCACAAAAGCAGCTATTGTTGTTCAAGTACTATAAAAATTGTTAGGAAGCTTACACTACAAGTTACTATTAAGTTTGCCAATTTAGAGATACATTTCCAGTGCAGTTACTGGTGGTGTGTCATACCAGGTTTGCTGCATCTCTTTGAAAAGCAGTGACCATGTCAATCGTCATGCTACGCTTACGAGGAACAGCTAGTTTTACCTTGAATTAAATTGAATTAGGACAGGATTCTTGTTCCAACATATATTACTCACCAGAAGAGCAAAAAATAGTACTAATTACTAAAATATCTGAATTACGTTAAGGCCTAATCCTCAAGGCAGCTGGACAGGGAAGGACTGAGTAAGTCTCCAGAGAAATTACGATAACCAATCCTGTTATTAGAGCCATTTTTACCAGAGGCACTGTCTAGTGTCTAGAACACAAATTACGGAAGTAGGGATCTTTAGCTAGTTCCATCTGAGTGCTGTAAGCAGCAGTTTATATAGGGTTTATGCAGAGGAAAATGGTTAGTCCTCTTCCTACGTAACCCAACGCTTATCTGTTTGACGTAGGGGTATAGAAGCAGATAGAATTTGAAGAAGCTTCATAGGGTAAAGCGAAAATATTCACCTAATGAAGTCATCTATATCCATTGAACGAGCTCGTTTTTCAGAGAAACCTGTATCTTTCAGAACCGTCTGTATTTTCTCTGCAATTTTGAAGTTTTCAGGTATTTCCTATCAATGGAAAATGGGATACAAATTATTTTTCTATTCATAGCATAGGAACAGGTTAATTTAAATACTCTTTCTTTGCTTTTACAAGAGTTCTTCTTTCAAGTGACAAAAGCTGTAGCTTTTCTTCTATGGCTTACTGTATTCTTGCATCTGAGTTTTTATATCTTAGCTCATTCACTATAAATGAATCACCAACAGTATTGCTGCACAGACTTGAAGTTTTCTTACTAGATTTTGGGAAAAGGCCATCCTTGAGACGTGTACAGCCAATATATTAACAATATCCCCAGATTTCATTTTTTTCACTGTAACTTAGTGACCCTTTTAAACTGTTCCTTAAGAAAAAAAGTTCCTCCCTTCCCAAAACTCTCTTGGAAAAGCTTTAACATGTCAAGCTTTTTAATTCTAATTTTTTTATTCTTACAAATGTTAAAGTTTAGGTCAGAGTACATATAAGTAAAACGTAATATATTAAAAAGGAACTTACTCTATTATGTAAGGAACAATGAATTCGGTAGTTATGATCCAACAACTGCTCTACAGCACTTGACCTGAAAGAAATTCAAATCTAGAATGAAAACTGATCTTTAAATTTTCTTTTTTTTTGACTTAACTGGTTGTTCATCTTTAATATAAAAATAAACGAATGACTACAGTTTTCTTCTTAAACAGCTGCCTAAAAGTTTAACTTGCGAAGTTTGTGACCTCAGCATAAATTCCCCATCGTGGTTTATCCCAAATTCTGCTGGCCTGCATATAACACTGCTAGATATTTACACAAAATAAATGGACACTCAAACTTTAAAAAATTCTAATAGAAGTTACTTACTTAAAGGCTGCAGAGAGTGTCTTGTTTTTCCTAACAAAAGCTATCCTTACCAGACCATCCCATTCCTGAAATTAAAGCACACAGTACTTAATGAAAAGAACATATGGCTGCTAAAAACAAGAACACTATTGGCAATTTCACAAGAATATCAAACGCAAAAACATCTTTTCAGTAGAGTACTTTCTTAACAATAAAAAGAGCACACATTCTTGGACAAAGGAACACAAATGGAAGGAAAAATACTTCACACAATACCACTGAGTACCACTGTCCAGGTCTTAAGTGATGAGAATGCAGATACTTCAAGAAAATCTGCTAATGCTAGGCAAGGCTGAAATGGTCTTGAAGACCAAAGCATTTTAAAAATTAACTTTGAGTATATTATCCTGTAACATCTGTCTTCTGAGACTATGCAGAGTAAAGTAGGAGTTCTCAAAAACACTCCTTTGATCACAAGTAACTTAATTCATCAGTTGGAAGAAACTCTGTGCGACAATAATAACCACTACGAAAAGCTTGTTATGAGTAGCAACTCTCCAATAGATACGGATTTGGTACCTTGGTCTTGTCAGAAACAGAATCATAGAATTGGATAGAAGGGACCTTAAATACCACACAGTTGCAATGCCCTGCCATGGGCAGGGACACCTCCCACCAGACCAGGCTGCCCAAAGCCCCATCCAGAGTGGCCTTGAACATCTCCAGGGATGGGACATCCACAGCTTCTCTGGGCAGCCTGTGCCAGCGCCTCACCGCCCTCTGAGTGAAGAATTGTTTCCATCTATCTGATCTAAATCTTCCCTCTTCTATTTTAAAGCCATTTCCTGTTGTGCTATCACTCCACTCTGTGACAAAAGAGTCCCTCCCCAACTTTCCTGTAGGCCCCCTTTAGGTACTGGAAGGCCTCAATAAGGTATCTCTGGAGCCTTCTCTTCTCCAGGCTAAACAGCCCCAACTCTCTCAGCCTGTCCTCATAGGAGAGGTTCTCCAGCACTCTCAACACCTTCGTGGCCCCCCTCTGGACTTGTTCCAGTAAATCCATGTCCTTCTTGTGCTGAGGGCTCCAAAGCTGAACACAGTGCAGTCTCACAAGAGCAGAGCAGAGGGGAAGAATCCCCTCCCTCACCCTGCTGGCCATGCTGTTTTTGATGCAGCCCACGATACAGCTGGCTTTCTGGGCTGCAAGCTCACATTGCCAGTTCATGTCAAGCTTCTTGTCAACCGACACCCCCAGGTCCTTCTCCTCAGGGCTGCTCTCAATCCATTCTCCACCCAGCCTGTATTGGTGCTTGTATTTTTAAGTATTGCAAGAAAAGCTGCACCCAATTACATGCAGATAATGCAGTAATACAAGCCTGATCAACACAAGAGTAAATGTTGTGGTGTTTTGTAAATACCAATGGATACTTAGTTGTTTATGTTGTTTTCACTACTGAGTAACAAGTACAGAGAAGTGAAACAAAATTAAACACTATTACTAGAATATTACATTGCCATTACACTATACAACACTTACCTGAAAGTTGATAGGTGGTGGTGGGTTCTTTGGCTCTATTCTGACAACGCTGGATTCCACTTTGGGGGGAGGCCTGAAGTTGTTCTTTCCAACCTGTTAGAAGTTAGGCATCGAATCCTCACGTTCTTAGAAACATTATTCTCTCTTTGATAGCTTTGTTAAGTAAAGCAGAATGACATACCTTCATCAGATGGTCCACTCGAGCTAATAACTGGGTATTAATAGAAAGTCTGCAGTATAGCTTAGTTCCTGGTTTTGCAACCAAACGAAGTGCAAATTCCCTTTGAAACATAAGTATTGCACACCTGAGAGTAACAGAAATGAGAAAATGAATACTAAGTCTAACCAACTTTTAAGTTAAAAGCTAACTGCTAGTTAGAAAATATTTTTTTCCCCCTCAGGACTTAAAGGAATGAAATTCTGTGATATGCACACACTCCCTTGATTAGGTCAGACTGAGAAACAAACAAATAATAATAATTAAAAAAAAACAACTTGGCAAAACTATCCAAGTTTCATTAAAACTACAATAGAGTTTTGTTCTCTATACTGCTAAGTGGATCAGAGAGAGTCCAGTCTCAGAGTTTGCATGACAAATAATTTTGAGAAATTTCATAGCAAGCCTTCCAAATACAAGTTCTCTAGCACCGTAAGTTGACCAGTAATGTCACTAATGTTAACATTTCAGTGTGAGAAACGAAGAACTACTGTCATGGTGAAGAACACACAGAAGTACCTGGGCAGTTACGTTTTTAAACCAGACAACAGTAAATGTCTTGGCTTCAATTCTACCTTTAGCACACTTACTTCCTAACATAGGAAGACATTTGAAATGTTACCATGCCCTGCTTATCCTTGGAATAACAATTATAAATAATCTGAGTGTAAACAGGTGCCATTCTTCCCTTCACCAGCTTGACTCTCACACCAAAACCAAGTTTATTCTTACGCATTAGTTGATATATTAACTACTTGACATTAACCAATTATCAATCATTTACAGTTTTCATATTATGGAAAAAAAATGGTGTGGCTCTGATCCACCAAATTGGTATTTAAAAAAAAAACTGATTTGGGAACATTTGTAAAACTATCTTTTTGCCTCCTCCACCCCGCCCCCAATCTGGTAATCTAGAGCAGTGCTCTTGTACATACCTGAAAAAAGGTCTATGAAGTAACAACTTGAAAACAAATGGTGAGGAAATCTGAGAAAAAAAGATAACATCAGTAGTGTAATTTCCAGGCAGTTATCATTAATAAAAAAGTTTCATCATGTACTTTAGTGCATACCTGGTAAGGTAAGTTAGCTACACATGCATCAAAGAACGGTAACTCTGTTTTCAAGACATCTCCAACCTTGATTTCGAGTTTGTTTGCCAGACACCTGGGTGAAAATATACTGTGGTTATCGTCAGATAAGCACATTGCCAATGTTTTTGCCAAAGCAGCTCCACTGCTTTAAATCATCACTACTTCAAAGGCTGATACTTACGTGCCCTGGACTCTCTTCTGAAGTTCACCCACAAGTCTAGGGTCAATTTCACAGGCAATAACCTGAAAATAAAGAAGATACTTAGAACTTAAAACACAAACTCCTCCTAGCTGGGATTAAAATTACAACTGTAAAAAAAGGATCAAATAAATATTGCTATGTTATTAAATAACTCTTAAATACTTCTCATTATGCTACACACCTTCTATTCTGCCCCCATAAAACATGCAAAAGTTATCACATAAACTGGTAACAGCAATGTAGTTTGACAAAGCCATGCAGATTTTTCAAACGCAGCTAAAAAAATCATTGCTATACATGCAAATGTTAAGAAAAATACACTTTATTCTATTTTTTTAACCAGGTAGCTGAAAATGCTTCTCTATGCCAAAGGCCAAGCCATAACATACGGGAAGGCGGTGGTAGAGTCACACTTACTTTTTTTACTTTCTCTAGCATTTTTACTGTCAGGTTGCCAGTTCCAGGGCCGACTTCCAGAATGACATCTGTACGTCGTAAGGCAGCCTAAGAACAGACAAAATAATAAATAAAAAAAAAAAGTATTAAGTAAATAAATAAGAAGTGTTTTTTCTGGAACTGATTTCTAGCAGCAATTCGATTATGAAATAAAAAGTGTAAGGAGCTCAATATAAAGCTGAAATCAGCTAACACAGAACTATGAATATATTTATTTTATTTTTTTGTTAAGGGAATGTCGTACAAGTGAAGTAGGAGAGGCACTTGACCGCGCACAGCCAAGTAAGCGAGTTATCAGCCCCCTGCCGGCTCGGCACCCCCAGCGCCCACCTTCTCGATGATGCTGTTGACGACGAGCGGGTTCTTCAGGATGTGCTGCCCGGCGCCGGTGTTGAAGAGGATCCCTGCGGAGCAGCAGAGTCACACACACACAGCCGTAACGCCGCTCCTGCCCTGCCCATCCCACCCAGGACCCCCCGCTCCGCGGCCTCCCACCCCAGGACCCGGCCTCACCGGGCGCCTTCCCCTCGGGGCGCTCCCTCCGCGGCCGCTTCCCGGCCCGCGCCTTGGGCATGGCGGCGGCGAGCCCGGCCCCGGCCCGGCTGCGAGCACACGTGCGGCCGCCGCGGCGCCCAACCAGGACTACGAGTCCCGCCGAGCACCGCAGCGGGGCGGGCCCCGACGGCGGCCGCGAGGGCACAAAGGCGGAGCGGCTGCGGGGCAGGGGGCGGTGCCCCCGGGCAGGCACACAGCTGGTGTGGGAAGCACACAGCCCTGACGTGTTGGGGATAAATATTCGGGTTTGGCTGAATGGCTGGATCTATTGTGCTGCGCGGTTATTTCCTCTTTTGTATAGAAACCCCACGGGAACACACCTTCCTCTTTTCTCTGATATATGGGAATGTCCGTGCCCCTAGTACCACGAAGAACATCAGCCTGTTGTCCTAGCTAAATGCTTGTATTTCTTAGTTATTTCATATTTAATATATAGTGCTAGGGAAGGCGACAGCATTCGTTATTTAGACACGGTTTTATTGTTGTGTGGGATTTAAAAAACGTGCACGCACACAGACAAAACAGAATACCCGTTCCAGGTAGCTGTACGTGAGTCGAAGGCAGGAAAAAACAGAGTGAGAATAGATAGCAAGGCGGAAGAGAAAAATTGTTAATAGCAGAGAGAAAAAGCGTTTTTAATAAAGGATGTTCTGTGTCGGAGCATTCAGCATTATGCTGCTATATACAGACAACCAGAACTACTCCTTCTTTCGTGAATCCCTGAGGGGCCGCCCATACTCCAGGACCTGTTATTTCACCATTTTCACTCTCGGAAACGTGACCAGGAGGCGATTCAGAGCAGCGCTAGAGCACCGCGATGCCTCAGCTCACACAAACGGGCCATCAGCTCACGGCCGTGACCCGTGCCTTGCACCCAACAGCCCCGTGTCGCTGCGCGCCCTACGCCTGGGCGCTCGCTGCCTCACAGAGCCGGGCCGTTAGGCAGCCGTTACGTGGCCGTTTAACGGCCGTTACCCCCTCACCCACACCACGCCCTCCCCCCCCACATCAGCGCATGCGCGGCGTCGAGCGAGCGGGGAGGGAGCGCCCCCCCCCGCAAGCGTCGCTGAGCGATGACGTCACCCTCGGAGCGCAACCCCCCCCCCCCCCCCCCTTCTCTCTCCCCTCCTCCCCCCTCCCCTCCGGGCTCGTGGCGCTCGCTTCGGAGCGGGCGGGGGTCGCGCGCCAGGCCCGGCCCCGCCCACCCCCGGCCTTGCCCCGCCCACCGCCGGCCTCGCCCCGCCCCCCCCCGCGTGCGGCGCCGCCGCCGCCCGCCGCCAAGGGTGAGCCGCGCGCCGGGCCCGCGCTGCACGCGCCGCCGCCGCCGCCGCCATCGTCACGGGGCTCAACGGCCGCCAACGGCCGCCAACCGCCGCCTGCTGTGAGGGGGCGGCCGCGCCCCGGGTACCGCAGCGGGGCGGGGCGGGGGGTGCCGGGGCCCGGCGGGGAGGCGGGGAGGGGGCGAGGCGGCCTTGGCCGCGCTGCTGGGCGCCGCGTGTGCTGCCCGCCGCCACGCCTCGCCTCGCCTCGCCTCAGCCGCGGCGGGTGGCTGCGCCCCGTGCTTCTCGGCCCCGCCAGGGGAGGGCCGGCAGCGAGTGGCGGGGGCTGCTGCCGCCGTTGCGCTCCGTGTGGGCTGCCTCTCGGCAGAACTTGCGCGCCGTGGGGAAGGGGCGAGTGCCGTCCCGTTAGCCGTGCTTTGTTGGTAAATGCGCCTGTTTTCCTCCTGCAGGTTCTCGAGGGACGGCAGTTGACAACTTAGTGGGAGCGGCTCCTTCCCAAAATCGAAGGCAGGGTGGGTGCAGGAGTGGTGAGTTGTGCCTCCTGTTTGTGTTTGCGTCCAAGTTGGCAACACGTGTGAAGCGTAGGAACGAGGCCCTAAACACAGTGCTGATGCAGCTCCAGGCTTCTGCTGCTGCTATAAACCTTGCCTCAACCATCAACTGTGTCTGTAACGTGCGTGCAGTGCCTTTCGGATTCACGCTTGTAATACGTGGGACCACCTCAGTCCTTACAAATAGCATGTTCCTTATGTGTTTTGACTTATTTTTACTTATTCAACTTATTTGACTTATTTTGATTTCATTTTAACTCTAGTCTTTTTCATCACTCTCCACATTTCTTCTTGCATTCCGTCGTTTTAATGTTCTGCAGAAGGGCGTTTTGTACCATATATATATATGCATGGCCTAATAAAGGTTTTTGTTGCCCAAGCTGAACATAGAAAATTTTGAACTGTATCATCAGACACTAGTTCTAACCATCTTCTGAAATTGTTTTTAATTCAATATTCAGTTCAATTAACTATTTAATAATTAAAGTCTCTGCATGAAGACAGACTGAGCCTTGCATTTCTATGTCAGTTCTTGAATACTAATTCACTATGAAATGTTGAGTCGTTTTTTTGAAAATCTACTAAAACGAGATGAGCTAGGAAGAATAGGGAATAAGATTAGGCATTGAGTTTGGTCATTGCATAAACTGAGTATTAAATGTTAAAAATATTCTTCTGTTGTCTCCATGTATCTTTTTTTTTCTCCTTTTTTTCTGTTATTGGTACCAAGCCCTATGACGTGGTTTCCTCTGAGCTATATCCAAGCATATTCCTTGGAATAGTCCCACTGTTAGTTTTTATTCCTGTTATTTCTGTTGGGATTTTTGGTCAGTTTCATTTGGCCAGTTTCCACTTACCATAAGAGGCCATTTTTCTTCATCTGCATATTTTATAATGTAATCTGAGATACCTCTAAATATTATCAGCCTTGCTCGCAGCTCTCCATTATTCCTGTGTTCCTCCTTTTTCTTTACTACTTCTTCCCTGGTCTCTTCTGCATGCTGATTTTTCTCAGACCTGGGTTTTAGTTTCAGTGTTGTACTCTTGTAAAAAATATTTACACATGCAAATTGTTACAAATAAGTTCTAGTCTTCTGTTTCTGTCAGAAACAGTGAGGAGAAGAAACACTGTAGCTCCTTCCTACATAATCGTTTTTATTTCTCTTTATTATGTTTTCAATTGGCAAAGCATAGGCAGTCTTTCTGCCTTTTTTATTTGCATAAAAAAGCTACTGTTTTTGAAAGTCTTAATAATGACTAATGTTAATCTTTGTAGTGATTGTGTTCATTAGTGTAGTTGTTAATGATTCTAGAAATACCCAGAATATTCAGAATAGTGGTAGTTTGTTTGTTTGTTTTTACTGCTCAGTAGAATTACTAACATCTGGCATGATTGATACAGGTACTATAATCTTAGGAAAAGAGGCTCATAGGAAAATTTATAGAATGATGGAGAGACATTGGAATGTTTACCAGCTGTTCCTGAAATTGACCGTATCCTTACAAGCATTGCTAATGCCATGTGAATATTGCTGCAGATGCTAGCTTTTATGTTACTTGTTTTTTTTGTTTGTTTGCTTTTTTTAGAAGGTGTCCCGTTACTGGTTCTTGTGGCATGTCAGAATAGAAACTTTTTTTTTTCCTGTTTTCCTCAAAATAAATGTGCTGAAAAACAGTCAGTCCTAAGTTTCTTGCTGAACTTCCCAAGCTGCAGTTTGTAGCTTTAATCTATCACCTGCCATTGACCGGAAGAGTTTGCCTCTGTCTTCTTTGAAAGTGCTCTTCAGGTGGTTGTTTGTTATTTGTAGGTGTCTTTTAAGTCATCACTTAGCTCTGCTTCACTGACTGAACAAGTCCTCAACATCTCTTCATAAGTCAGACCCCAATCATCTTAGTAACTCCAGGCTTTCCAATTTCTGCACTTTTTTCTTTGAACTGGGGAAAGGGAGAGCAATGATGGCAAAACTGAAGACAGTGTGCTAGAAGCAGTCTCACATATTGCTGCATAGAAGAGAATGATAACACCCTTAGAGCTGCTTACCGTGTCCCTCTTAAAGTAGCCCAGAATGTAGTTTGCATTATTTTCAGTGATAACACTATGTATTTTGTGCAATATTTTAACCAATTTCAGAGGATCGTAACTGGATCCGTTCTTACACCTCATCATGGTGGAAAAGAATTTATGGAATTAACAAAAAATAACAAGTGTACAGAATTAATTATTGGGATATGAATGAATACTGCATTCTTTGAAGTTCAAAAAAGTGAAGTTTATAGGCATTTACAAATGAAATCTTTGGTTTGTTCCCTTGCAGATACGTAGTTATTCTTTTTTTTTGTTTTCATAATTGATGAGTGATTCTAAAATTCAGATGTGTGTCAGTGTCATGGGAAAAATACCTGTATACCTTTTAGTCTCTATTAAGAGGACTGACTGATAAGGGAAAACATGATGGCAGAACATTAAAGATACTAGGACTGTTGTTTGAAGAGAACTACTTGTATGTGTGTTTTCTTACAAAGAGAGTGGAGGGTAAAACAGGAAAAGTGGATCCTGGATTTTTGCAAGGGAAAGGAGATGTAGGAGTTGGTGAGTGGGAACAGAAGTGCTGAGCACTGGAAGGTAAGAATGAGAAGACAGCATTGGTTTTCTCAGTGTCTCAAGACACCGCTGGCTCATTGTGCTGAGGGGTTGCATTTGATGTGTTATATATTTTCTAGGTGTAAGTAAAGTTTTTTATTTCAATGTAAGCCGGGGAATATGCTGCTCTCTCAGGTCTGTGCATGCGCAGTACGGTTGTCGAGAATGGGTTTCCTTCTTGTATGTGGTTAGGTTCACTTCCTTCATACAAGCAGAAACTCTGATATGGCAATAAACCCATGCTTTGATTTGCAATTGTAAGATGTTCAGTACCCTCAGCTGAAGGGATTTCTTTTCTTTTTATCCCCATGTGCTTCCTGCTTTGTTGTGATAGCAATGGGTATGAACCACAGAAAAGCAGCAGAAAGCAACAAGTGCTGCTGTAGTTGCTCACTGCTTATTTTGAAAACAAGCTCTGAGATTAGGTGTAGAGGTCAGAAATGCTAAGCTTTACCCAGTGATCAAGCTTGGAAATTCTATCTTCTACTACTCAAAAGTGCAGCCCCTGTCTGTCTTCTAAGAAAGTGGTGTTTGTAATGTAGATAGACTCCACCAATGTTTCTATGCACCTGGCATGGCTGTGAAGGTACCCAAAAGATAACAGGTATTTAATACTTGCCTCATGTGTTTCACCTTTAGCACGTCTTG